GTTCACAGGCATCCATTCATGTGTGTGAGTGTGTGTGTGTGTGTGTGTGTGTGTGTGTGTGTGTGTGTGTGTGTAGCATCCCTCAAAGGTGAGGTTGTCGTCATTCCCTTTGCCACAGTGAGGCAAGGCTCAGAGATGTGGGGTAGCTTTGCCCAGCATCACACAGCTGTGCTTGACAGAATGTAAAATGGGTGCCTACTAGCTACCCCAAGGTGTCTCAGTGATCCAGGTGACCATGGGAAGGCACAAGGTGTACTTTCCTCAGTCTCCATTGCAGAGTGAGGATGGTGTCCCCTTTTTGCCATACATGGAGTCCTTAGCTTTCTGTGCAACTTGGATTACATCCTTCGGCTCCTGCATCCAAGATCACACCCTCCATGTGACATGCTCACTTAAATGATCATGGAGGAGTAACTGGCGGGGGGGGGGGGGGGGCATCCATGCTAGTCACTTCTGCACCTCAGGGCAGCTGTAGGGATGCAGGGATGTTTACATCATACAGTGTTAGGTACATAGAGGAGGAAGAATTTTGGGCATAACCAACGCCTCAATAATAGGCATCATGAAGCCCTAATCCCAGGACACATACTCTGGATCCAGCCCAGACTGGTATCTGAGCTTGTCCCCAAAGTGCAATGCTAGTATTGACCACCTGAGGGCAGCAAACACCCACACATCACTTTTTTTTCATGTTTTAGTGGCAGGCAGAGTGGCAGAATTGTATGAGGACCCAGAGCCACACTCCCCACTCTTAGAATAGCTGTGTGATTACTGCTCCCTCTGTCCGTCCAGCCTACTTCCCTGTGCACCTCCAGGCAAGCTGTGGGTTTCCCTTCAGCTCTGCTCCATGTCATCTCCTGCAGGTCAGGATTTGTTTCAATGGTAAAACGAACCTTCCACAAAAGCCATGGCTCTTAAGTGAGCTACCAAATGAGTTTTAACAAGCACCATGCTACCAGATTAATCAAGACAGGAAATAGTATTAGCTGTCTGGTTAGTTCAGGAGCTTCAGGCTGATTATTTAGTGCTTGTTGTTTGGTTCCCAGGTTGTTTGTTTGTTTCTGTTTTGTTGTTGAGTTGGTGAAATGAGATAATATACACAGATGCCTGGAGCACAGCAGATGCAAGGCTCATATAGTCAGGCTATTTTGAGTGACAGTCTCACTCCCCATTCCTGTGCCCTGAACAGACATTAATAATGGATCTCCAAGTCAACAGTGTGGCTGCTGGGCAGTTTCCTCCCTTGAACCAAGTTGTACATTTTATTTTAACCCATGGTCTCTAGGCCTGACTGACCATAACAATCATCCAAGTAGCTTTGGAACCTTCCCTGGCATTTCTGGGATTAGGAATATGTAAAAAGACTTTCCGATTGGAGAGTGACAGACACTGGAAGAGGTGGGCTCAGGTAGCAGGCTGCAGATTGAGCACATAGAGAAGATGCAACCCTGATGGACTGGATATAGCTCAGGGGCAGAACACTTACCCCGCATGTGTGTGAGACCCTGGGCTCCATTTTAGAATCCTTACCGTGTGTGTGTGTGTGTGTGTGTGTGTGTGTGTGTGTGTGTAACGCTTGTCTCCATTTTCATCACTGAAGGAAAAAAAACGCAAACAAAGCAACAACAAGACTTTAAAAAGACGTCATTTGAGTTCTCGGGCCCATCTTTCAAACAACTGCCTCTGGGGCTGTGCAGTGCAAGTGGCTTCAGGGTGAGAGGAGGGAGAGAATACTGAGTTTCCACCCTGACATTATTTGGGAACCAAGTGGTCAGACACGGCCTTCCAAATCTTAATTTGACAGGATTCATCATTTTCAAGAAGAGAAACAAAGCACAATGTGAATCAAGCATTGCAATAACTGGCCCTGGCCCATGATGCCTCAGACCCAGGGTGGGAGGTGAACCTCACGCTGCATCTAGACATGCCAGTCTCTTTATCTTTTTTAACGTAATTGAGAGCTTACTGTAAGCATTATGTTTTCTACTGCGTAGAGATGAATAAATAAAATTCATTTCATGTGTACCTTTACTGCCCATTCCTGTGTCCTACACAGACATTAGCAATGGATTGTTGAACTTTTCTCATTGAGTTCATGGTTTTGTTAGGTGGCTGACTCAGCCTGGGGCAAAATAGAGCTTCTGAGCTCTGTTTCTTCCTCTATGAAACAGACTGGCAGGCTGCCTCTCTTAGGAGAGATGCACAGAGGTTCCTTGAGCCTGTGTTGGGACTGTGGCTCCAGTCAGTGTCTGACCAACAGTTGGTATGACTTCCTGTGCGACACTAGCATGCTTACTGGGTGGGACAATGTGAACCAAATCTTTGAAATAATGTCAGAGCCTCTCACTGGAGCCTAACACTGGATGAAAAAGGGTCGTGTGTGCCGAAGACGCTGAGGTGCGTGGTCAGCTCTCGTCATTCTGCAGAGTCTAATACAGAAGTTTGTTATTGCAGAGGGGAGTTGTCTGGACAGAGCTGGACTGATAAATGCTCAGCTGACTTTTTATCTGGAGAGCAAGTGGTACCTGGGAAGGCAGGAGGGAATCCTGCTATATGCACCTAGTCGGGTACTCCAGGGCAGTGCCTGTCTGTGAGTGGTGGGGAAGAAGCTGAACCTTGCTGGTGGGATTGGCTGCCACTGGTTGAAGAGCTGACAAGTACAGGGGGTTCCAGAAAACCACTATTCATTTTAGGGTGCCAGTGAGGTACAAGGAATGTCCACGGGTATGAGGAACACATCTGTCTGGCAGTAGGGTACAGACAAGGGTCCAGGCAGGTGGGGGAGTAGACTGTTGGTGCCCAGTGATGGTAAAGGTAAGACAGAGATTCTAGACTTGGAATCAGCAAAGAACGAGAGAGAGAGAGAGAGAGAGAGAGAGAGAGAGAGAGAGCTAGAAGTTTGGATCTGATGCCAAAGAAAATTCAAGGTCAAAGAGCTGGGTCAGCTGCGCCCTGGAACCCAAAGTCATCTAGAGGGGCATGCACCCCTCCTTGCTGCCCCAGTGGATCTCTTGGTCCATCGGCTCACCAGACTCTTCGGCAGTCCCCTCTGCCCAGCAGGGCTGAGTGTACATCACTGGCCTCTCCTTGTCAGCAGCTGTCAGGGCGCATTTGTGACAACAGCATTCATTCATGCTTCAGGAAGCTGCAGGGGAGGCTGGGGGCTGGGAGGGGTGGCTGGATTTGGTGAGGCTTTGATGTCTGCTGATGGCATCAGTGGGGCTGACTCTCTCCTTCACCCAGGAAGCAGAAAGTAGTAGTGGAAGAAAGCAAAACAGACAACAGAAGGAGGAGTGTGGGATGTGCCCACATGCCAGCATCTCGTTCACAGTGGGACTTCAGCCCTCTACCTCCTTCTCACTGGCATAAAGTGGCTGAGGCTGGTGGGGTTTGGCACTAACCCCTCACCTATAAAATTGAGGCAATCACCTCTGCCCTGGCCAGTGGAGTGAACATGAGGCTCTGATGAGAGCTGGCTTTCAGAGAGCATGAAGTCAAGGCCAGGGGTGCAGTGTCCTCTCAGACGTTGGCTCTGCTAGCTGATGTCTGCATCATCACTGTTGTGGACTCTCATGCCAGAGGAGTTAGTGTTCTAAGTCAGTGGTTCTCAACCTTCCTAATGCCAAGACCTTTTAATACAGTTCCTCATGTTGTGGTGACCCCCCCAACCATAAAATTATTTTCGTTGCTGCTTCATAACTAATTTTGCTACTGTTACGAATCATAATTATTTTTGGAGATAGAGGTTTGTCAAAGGCTTGAGAACCGAACCACTATTCTAAGTCATTGTTGCTGCTTTTGCATCTTTAGTGTTCCCTCCATTCCTTCCAGTTTTACTCTAGGATTTTGCTGTGAGTCTCACCCATCCTTTCTTAATCCCTCCATTAATCCCTCCTTCTAACTCCTCCTCCTCCTCCTCCTCCTCCTCCTCCTCCTCCTCCTCCTCCTAAAAGTCAGCCTTGAAGGGTGGGAGGAACCTGGAGCTGAGGCACAGAGTCCACAATCTGAGGCATCAAGGCAGCACATAGACAGCTGTGGAGAGGCAGCTGTGGGCACAAATCCTGGACGCTTGGCTTCAGCGCTGCATCTTCCAGGCCCCCACTCAGTTTGCGTGCTTCAAGACCCAGTGCTCACAGCAGTTCCCCTGGGAAGCCTCCCTGACACTTCCTCCCCAAGTGTAGAAAGCACAGCTTAGAATAAGCGTTGGAGAGATCAGGAATGCCAAGTGCTTGGGGCCTAGTTTCTTCAAAGGAAAGAAATGAATAAGTAACGCCTGGTCACCTGGAATGCCAGAGTGAAATTGATCAAACTACCTGGTCATCCTTGCTATTCCATTAGGAGCCAGCCTCCACCTGAATCCCCTCCCCCAACCCCGTGCGCCCCAGCATCCTGCGCATTGTTTAGGTCCTAATCCTGAGCTTTGTCTCTCAGTGAATAGAACCCATCCCTATGATGGTGCATCCTCCACCAATAGAATCCATCCTTATCACAGATCCTTCCTCTAGGCCCTAGCCCCAGCTCTTTTTTATCAGCCAATAGAACTCATTTTCATTGCAAAGGTTACAGGTGCTTTGCTACCTTGCTGGGGAGTTTCTATGTATCTATGCCTAAAGCTTTGTTGTGTAATTGTCATGTGGAGGCCCCTTCCCAAAGTTAATTTACTATGCTTAAATGTGTAAGAAGAGTAAACCGTCAGGTCAGTTTCTGGAAGTTTTTGATCCAGTGCCTGCAAAGACCTCCCCACTGACTGTGAGGTGGAGGCTCCGGGCAGCTTCTGCCTCCATGATGCTCAGCCTGTGTTGGGGGTGTGGCCACGGGGGGCTGTGTTCACAGGGGAGCCAACCAAGAGCACCAAGGCCGCCCATTGCCATGGAGACGGGCCCATGGGCCAACCAGGCCCAGGCTGGTCAGTGAATGAATAAACGTGGCCCATTTTTCTGCCTTTGTCCTGAGGCTCCCCGCGGCTTCCTGCTGTCAGCCCCAGCTGTGGGGAAGGCGGAATGTGCCTGACTGATATCGCCGGGCCGCCGCCGGGCTGCGCCAAGCCTGGCCTGGCTGCCCCACGCCAAGATTCATGCCCGGCAAACAAGCCTCACTTTGTTCCTGTGGGAAAGTCCGGCCTCTCAGGAAAGAGCTTCTCTCCGCCGGGCCCTGGGCTGGGGACGCGCAAGTTGAACAAAGCCTCATCCGCTGGCCACGATTCATGGGCCCAAGGTCCACCTCCGCCCCGGAGAGGAGAGGAGAGGAGAGGACGGGTCTGCCCAGGGGGTGGAACTCCGGGCCATCCCTTTGTCCCCCTCCTCCGGAAGCCCCTGCTGGAAGGTCTCCCTCACCTGCCCTTTGCTGGTTCCTGCCCTGCCTCTGACTGCAAAAGGGTAGCTGGGTAGGACGCAGGTGGTCCTGGGCTGGATAGCAGCATGGATGGAGCATAAGTAGGGACACTGAGGACCCATAGGGATGGCAGCTCCTGCTCCCTGAAGCTAAGGTCCAGGGTACTGGCTTCCACTCACACGTACACCTAGTGCTGGGCCTGGGCAAGTCCTGACTATGTCACTCAGAAGGGGGCCCAGCCTCACCATGGCCTCCTGTCAGCCCCCCAGATGCTGAACCCACTGCCCGGAGGGCAGAGGAGCTGCAATCATCAACATCAGCAATTAGGATTAGCTGCTGAGTTCTGGTCACAAGCAAGGCTCCCTGTCAGGGGTATCCTGTGGGTCACCTCAAGGAAGATAACTCAAAGGATTCCTAAACACAGGTGTTCACAGAGAGAGAGAAACAGATGGTGGCCTCAGCTAGAAGGGCTGTGCAGGTGTTTACAATCTTAAGTGTTATATGGACACTGTTCATTCCTCTCTGGGATGCATGGCACAGAACCAATAACAAATTGTTTAAAGACCGTTTGGGAACCAGGTAATGCCATCTACAGACAACACCTGGTTCCCAGGCTATCTGCCTGTAGCATCATGCTTGTGACCCAAGTGACATCAGATGAAAAAACTTAAGAGTTTCAGGGTCAAATACCTATCCAAGGTCTCAAGGCTCTCACACATTGCTGAACGTTGAGCCCCCCAGAAGCAAGAACTGAAACCAGGGTTCAAAGACAGAGAGGAGGGGAACAAGGCAAGAATGAGAATGGACCCACGTGAACCATGTTACAAGCATAGTGGTCAGGGGACTCCAGAGACATGGAGGACAGATGCCCAAATAGACGCAGGAAAAGGAGCTGCTGAAAGCATTGGCTCTTGTGACCATGGAGGCTGAGAAGTCCCACCAGAGGCTACCTGAATGCTGAAGAGACTGGGGTGCTAACATGCAAACTGGTGTAAGCCCTGAGTCCCAGCGTCTCTGTACAAGGTAGAGTGTCTGAGCACCCAAGGGTGCTTACACTGAAGTTCAAAGGTCAGAAAGTCTGGAGCTACAGTGTCTGTGAACAGGCAAGCCTCTGCTCTGAGAGAGAGAGCCCAATATACTTTCCTGATAGTCTCTTGCATTCAGGGTCTTGGGTGATTGATTGGTGTTGTCTGTCTGGAGTAGAGATGCTCCCCACCCATGTAGTCACATGTCAGTCTCCCCTGGAATCACTCCCACAGACCACCCAGAAATGACATTAGCAAACGTGTGGCTATCCTAACTTAATTTGATTGGGTTGACATCTATACTTAGATATCACAACACATGAGGAGCTCCTACAGGCAATTCCACCTATATCCTGATGGGGACACTGGGGAGCATGGGTCAGTTCTGCCTGATTGGTCCTGAGCAGCCCCCATTACTTTGTTGCTACTGAGCATAGCATTGGGGAAGGTCTAGACTGTGATGTTTGCAGCACAGTCCCAGCAAATCTGACACCACATAGGTGGTCTAGAGCTAAAGGTCCAGAGAGAGAGAGAGAGAGAGAGAGAGAGAGAGAGAGAGAGAGACAGGCCTTTCCAGTTGCTGCCACATTCTGCCTCCTTCATTTTCTGTCTTTGTTCTTGCCCATGCCCTGGGCCATGGCTCCCTCCAGCTCCTTCATCATGTCTGAGGAAGAACTGGTCCCAGAAAGGCAAGGGTTACAGGAAAGCAGTTTACAGCAATTTCAGACACAAGGGATTTTAGAAATTGCCCAAGCTGAGGGCCTCTGAAATTACTTACTTATCTCTTCTTGGCCTCAAAATGGCATCTTATAAATTGAGATAATGGGAATGTTTCTCCCACCAGGAGGCATAAAGGAAACCAATTCAGTTTTGTAGTCCAAAAGGTAGGTTTTAATTTTCTCTTTCTTCAGTAGCCGCAGTAAAGCAGACTCTGGTTACGCCTGTGCTAATGTCCCTGACCTCATCTTGGGTGTTGAGGGAATCTGAGAGCTGCCCTGCTTCCACAGCCCAGCAAACAGGATAGGAAGCTGAAGCCTAGAAGGAAGCTACTAGGGTTTGCTGTGATGGGGAACATAGCTGCACTCTGCACTGTGACATTAAGTACCTGCCACATGCCTGCTGCAACAGTGAGTCATAGGGATGCCGAGGTGAGGGAGCACTGCCCCAGCTTTGGTTGGGGACAGATGGAGCGATAGGTCATTCTGTATCCTATGGTAAGTGAGGACCATAGTGCAACTACCACCCTGGCTGTTGCACCCAGTGACACAGCCACCAGGCTCTCCTTCCATAAGTAGCCAGTCAGGAGCCCCTCCCTGTTCTTTTAGGGAACCAGTCAGGAGTCCCTCCTCATCTTCTAAACCGCATCAAAGACCACTAAGAGAAAAGTGTGGGCCAGTTCCTAAGAACTGTGCTCTGAGGGGCTACCAGGGCATTTGGGTATGCTGTGAAAATGTCTATCAAAATTTCAAAGTTATTTCAAACCTAGCATTCTGCTATATGGCAAGATCTCTGGCCACAGCAGGGGGTAGTAGAAAGTGTCTTCAGTCCAGGGTTGTGGCTTTACTTAGCACCAGTCTCTTACTTGATGTGGGGATGAAGAATGCCTTGTTAAGTGGGATACTTGGCTCTCATGGCAGGTCTCAGCCCAGGGCCTGCAGAACATGTGAATTTGGAAGAGAATTCATTTGAGGAGGCAAACGGGTCTGAGGAATAGCTATCCTAGATGCTACTTAGGAAAAAGTTCAAGGTTTGTAAAATCTGAGAGCCAGCCCATTCCTCAAGAGCCCCAGAAGGATGCAGAAGAGAATGGCAGACACCCTAATGTTGGCAAGCAAAGGAGCACGAGTTTGGTAAAGACCAAGGCCACAGATACAGAAATGGGACCCTCTGTTTTGGAATTAAATGACAAATCTGATGTAAGCACAGTGTACACCCCTGGTGGGGTTCAGGCCTCCAGCGATTGCGAAGTCCTCATAGTTTTGGCACCCACATGGCACAGGGGTTCTGCTGGCATCAAAACTTTGGCTCTTCCTATACTCTAGGGTAGATATGCTCCATAGCCCAACAGCACCATCCTGGCCATTCTGCTGGCATCTTGACAGCTGAGCAGGTATGGGGAAAGGCTGCCAACTGACCCTAGCCCCTTCCTGAGAGTCAACCGTTATAATCCAGGAGCAAGCTTGCTGAAGTCCCAGATTTATCAGCCCCCAGCAGTGGTCCCCAAACCTGGCTACCTATTGGAACAATCGGATAATCTGTAGAAAACACCCACACTGAGTCTCACTCTCAGTGATGCTAACGTATTGGCCAACCAGCCTGAGAATCCAGATTTTTACAAATGGTCCCTGGGTGACTCTAACGCTTGGCTAAAATTATGAGCGCTGACCTGGAAGGTCGAGTAAGTGGCCCAGATAGCCACCTCTTTTTTTTTTTTTTTAACTTGTGTGTGTTACACATATATGGATGTTTACAAATGCAAAGGTGTGGATGCATGGGTATGTGTGCACAGGTGTTTGTGAAGAGCACAAGTTGATGTTAGGTGTCCTTCGAAGTCACTGTCCATTTATTTATGTGTACATGTTGATGGGGTGCATGTGTGCCATGGCCCACAGAGCATGGCTTCTAAGAGTTGATTCCCTCCTACAATGTGTGTCTCTACAACCCAACTCGGGTCATCAGGCTTAGCAGCCAAGTGCCTTTACTCACTGAGCCGTCTAACTGGCCTGTTTCCATTTTATCACTAGACAGCAACATTCCATATGCCTGCTCAGTAGCCTGGATCCCAGAGCAAAGCAACGTGACAGGGAGAAGCTGACATACAACAGAAGAGGTTAGTGAAAAGGAATCCGTGAGGTTGCAAGGCATTGAGATTTGAGATGGAGGGGCTGCTTGTTACCTCAGCACAACTCAGCTTGCTGACTGACACTGCTGGTGGCCGCACATGTGCCACAAATTGCTACGCTGCACATCCGGGTTGTGTATTCAAGCCATCCATTTGTATTTGGATTTCCCCCCTTGGGTTTCACTTTCCTTTCCAGTGGTGTTTAGACATATTTTAAGTTTGACCTTTGCACATGAGTTCTCCTTTCTGCTCCAGCTGGCAGGGCCCATCGGAAGCTTTAAGTGCATCCATTTTTGCTCAGGCAAGACAACCAGCTGCCTTTCCTGGAGGAGACACCTAACCTTTAAACCATCGTCTCTGAACTTGGATGCACAACGGAAATGCTCTGGGGGTTGTGACTCAGACATCCGTGCATGCTATTTTTGGTCTGTGCCCAACATACATATGCTCTGGGTCACCCACCTGAAGGCAAAACATCTCAGTCAAAATGTCACAGGGATAGCTTCCATGAGATCTTTCTATCCCTAGTTTGGGGACAGCGGAGTCACAAATGCCCAGCCTCAGAAGAGGTATTCAGTGATGGCCAGAGCCCATTTTCTCATATGTTCACAAAAGCCATCTGGACCCCCTGGTTTGGCCCCTGATGAAAAACATCTTCTATCAACTGTCACTGTGCCTGTGAACCTACCATTGAAATTGTTTCCTGGAGCCTTCTGTCACGCCCTCCCTCAGGTGCTAAGATGGCTCTGTGCCAAGGGGGAATCCATGAGGAATGGGGCAGCCTGCTCGCCTTGGAAATAGAAATGTGAGATTGATCTCAGGTTGATATTACAGCATGAAAGTGAGCCTGGATAGTCAGCCAACACAGCTGCTCTGGATTCAGGCAAAGACAAGGGTGTAACTGCATAAGTGGGCATTGCAGACCTGCTCGGGCCTGTGCACAGGTGTGACTGGCCTTCAGGGCACTGACACCAGCAGTAACAGCATGGTGCTGGTTCCTTGGGGAGGACCACAGCTTTCCCGGGGAAACCTTAGTCAGAAGAAGAGGTGTGACGCTCTCACCTCATTCTCCCAAGAGAGAATTCAGAAGCCACAGGAAATGAAACCACACATGCAACGCATAC